AAAATATGGACTTTTGAATGTGTTTTGTTACATTTTTCAAGATGAAGACTGCAACAAAACAGGTTGGAACCATCACAGCCATTGGGGAACTGCAGTCCATATATCACTTTGGGAGGTGAAGTTCAGGTCAATCCATGTTGGAATTTGCAAAGTTTAAATTCCTTAAGCATCCCTACTCTCTTGGCAACCTTTTTCATTGGGAAATGTTCCTTCTGCAGTGCATACATGACTAAATTACCCAAGCATGCTACAATGCTATCAGTATCAAGACATTCAGCTTGCTCCTATGAGTGTGCAATGAATGATGAGGTTGGAGAAGAACATCCATCCCCAGCATCCCTACATAGCTGGCTCTTTTTTTCTACTTTCTTTTGTCTAGGACTAAGGTTTCAGGGAAACTAGGAACATTGTTGTTTAGGGCTCCTGATGATGGGAAGAACTGAAAATTCATTTCACCTGACTTTGACCATTTTTGAAATAAACAAATAGGGGAATAGAAATCTTCAAAGGTAGTAGATATAAATCTGATTCTTAAATCAGATCTATATTAAGAGAGACAGGGGTTTTATAGCTGGTAAGAGACTTGTGTCCCAACTTCCAAAGCAAGCAACAGTATATGCAATTCTGTTTGTGTATTGTGGAATTTTGGACCACAATAAGTCCAGAAACTACATAGTTCAGTGGTTCTCAACCTATGGGTCCCAGGTGTTTTGGCCTTCAACTCCCAGAAATCCCATCCAGTTTACCAGCTGGTAGGCTTTCTGAGAGTTGAAGGCCAAAACATCTGGGGACCCACAGGTTGAGAGCCACCGATTAGTTATTTCTTCTTTGAAATCATTCAAATGGTTGGTTGTAGTCCTGCTTTTCATATTTTTTTTGCCATGTGTGGGAATACTTTATTTATTTATTTATTTATTTATTTATTTATTTAGGGGCTTTATATCCTGTCCTTTCTCAACCTCCGCAGAGGGACTCAGGACGGCTAACAAAGTGGCACCCCATGGCGCCCACATCAAAACATAAATATACAATTAACAGTAATGTAATAATAACAATATAAAACAGTATAAACAGTATAAAACAGTATAAGCAATATAAAAACAGACAACAAATAGTCAGTGGTCACCGATTTAAATCATTATCCAAGGGCAGTCCATCAGTTCTAAATCAGTCAACACGTCAGTAGGTCAGCCTATTCTCCAAACGCCTGACCCCATTGCCAGGATTTTACTTGTTTCTAGAAGGTCAAGAGGGATGCAGCACATCTAATTTCACTCGGGAGGGAGTTCCACAGCCGGGGGGCCACCACAGAAAAGGCCCTGTACCTTGTCCCCACCAGACGCGATTGTGACAATGGGGGGACAATGAGCAGGGTCTCCTCAGATGATCTTAGGGCCCTAGGTGGATCATAGTGGGAGATACATTTGGACAAGTAAACTGGGCCAGAACCATTAAGGGCTTTATAGGCCAAGGCCAGCACTTTGAATTGTGCTCAGAAGCTGATAGGCAGCTAGTGGAGCTGGTGTAACAAGGATGTTGTGCACTCCCTGTAGCCAGCCCCAGTGAGCAGCCTGGCTGCTGAACGTTGGACTAGTTGAAGCTTCCGGGCAGTGTTCAAAGGCAACCCCACGTAGAGTGTGTTGCAGTAGTCTATTTGGGATGTAACAAGAGCATGGACCACCGTGGGCAAGTCAGGCTTCCCAAGGTACAGGCGCAGCTGGTGCACAAGTTTAACTGTGCAAAAGCTCTCCCAGCCACCACCGAAACCTGGGGTTCCAGGCTCAGCAATGAGTCCAGGATCACTCCCAAGCTGCGAACCTGCACCTTCAGGGGGAGTGTAACCCCGTCAAGCACAGGCTGTAACCCTATGCCTTCTCCGGCCTTGCGACTGACCAGGAGGACCTCTGTCTTGTCTGGATTAAGTTTCAATTTATTCGCTCTCATCCAGTCCATTACAGCAGCCAAGCACCGGTTCAGGACATGAACAGCCTCCTTAGTAGCAGGTGGAAAGGAGTGACAGCTGGAAATCATCTACGTACAGATGACACCACACCCCGAAACTCCCCCAATTTCGGTGTGCGGTGTCATGATCTCCCGCAGTGGCTTCATGTAGATGTTAAACAACATAGGGGACAATACTGAACCCTGCGGGACTCCACAGTGCAATGGCCGTGGGGTCGAGCAAGTGTCCCCTAGCAACACCTTCTGAGAGCGACCCTCGAGGAGAGACCGGAGCCACTGTAAAACAGTACCTCTAAGGCCAATTCCTGTGAGGCGTCCCAGAAGGATACTGTGGTCGACGGTATCCAAGGCCTCTGAGAGGTTCAGCAAAGCCATAAGGGACACACTCCCCCGGCGTAGATCATCCACTAAGGCGACCAAGGCTGTCTCAGTACCATGTCCTGGCCGGATCTAGTTAAGCCGTGTCTTCCAAGAATACTTGGAGTTGTGAGGCCACAACACATTCCAGGACTTTGCCCAAGAAGGGAAGATTGGAAACAGGCCGAAAGTTGTCAAATTGAATGGGTAAATGTATGCTATCACCAGAAACTCTTTGATGTTTGGCTGCTATATCTCTTGTTTGGATTGTATTTGAATTAGGACTCGGGGAGACCAAAGGTTTCAATCCCATATGAACACAAAAACATTTTTGTTGACTTAATGGCAAATCACACTTTCTCAACTGCAAACTTCCTCTGAACAACTCCTGCCACAAAGATTTCATGATAGGTTTGCTTTTGCCTTCCAACTCCAATACAGTACAGAAGTAGACCATGAAGGATAATACCACATTGCTAATTAATACATTGCATCTTGTATTCTTTAAATTCATTTGGTTCATTTAGTTAGGACATGGATGATGACGTGACACTGGAAAGATGGCAGAATTGTTTCTTATGGAACTTTGTGAGTATTCAGATACTCAATCATCACAGCCTAATTTTTTAAGTCCACAAGCAAATCTTGATTTTACCATTTTATATAAGAGGCTCTATTTTACTCTCCCATTCGATATAATGATATTTGACCATCCAAAAGTGTTGATGTCCTTGGGGGTGAAGCAATGGCAACATTAAGGTTCACCTTATGGTTTTTAATATATATACTTTCATGTTGAGGATGGTTGAATTTATGGGTGCATAATCTGTGAAAATAGACAGTCAACTGTACTTTTGAAGTTGCCTGCTTCCAATAAGTACTAGCACTGAAAATTGATCCAGGTGTTATTTAGATGTTGGTTTAGTATTTGATCCACAGATTCTTTCTCTATCCACCTGTGTATTTATGTACTCCTCTGTGTATGCTTCTGCATAAATCTGTGCCATTCCCTCCTGTTCTATTCTGTTTAGTTCTATGGACTGAGACAATGTTTTCAGTGATTTCATAAAGTGCTTATTTTGGCAATTTTTCTGACATGAATGAAGATTTTTGTTTGATGCTATTCCATATCTTTTGGTGCACCTCATATTGGCTCTTCTGTGTGTGATTCCCAACCTTTTTCTACCACTGTCATTAGTCTCATTTGTCCTTATTGCATCTAATATGACTGGCTGTTGCAACCCATGTGGTGGTTTTGTATTTAAGCATCAGTGATGTCAGATGTTACCACGTCAAAACAAAAGAGTGTCAAAAGTGCATTCAAACAATGTGAATCTTTGTTACAGTGAGTAATTTTTCACTAATATCAACTATATCAGTATACCAATATACGTGCAAATTAGATAATGGTCTCTGCAAAACTCTTACGTATTTAAAACCTCTTCTTGATAGGAGAAAAACGTAATGTTAGTATTATATTGGGCTTTTGTTCCAACAGCTAAAACATTTTGAGATACTGTTCAATTATTATTATGATTATAGATCTGTGCAGCGATGTTTTAAACTAATTGCAAAGAAGAAAATTGATAACACTTGCTTCTACCTAAGTACTTGCGTAAAGCTAACAGTTTGCAAGGCCCTGTCTAATGCAAGGACTGAATCTGCACACACAATTTGACGAAAATGTGTTATTTCGTAAAGTTTGCTTTCTTCTGCTGATGTGGATGAACAAGACATCTACCTTGAAATGATTACTGTCTTTTTGTAAAAGTGCCTCATTTATTATAATGACTGGCATAAGATTGCCTCATACTTTAAATTCCTAGGGTGGTGGTATCAGGTATCTGAATTGGCATTTAAGTTCCTTGGATACTGAGCCATAAATACATAAAACCTGAGAGGGTCTTTAATCATGATTTTTTTCCCCTCTGATCCACAAAGTCGTAACTGCTTCAGTTTCATGGTGTGAATTTCGACTCATAAAGACATTAGCCTTCCTTCTCTCCCCTGCTCCCTTTACCACGGGGATTTTCAAAAATCACAATAAACACGCTCAAAGTTGGATAGGAGAATAAGTCTAAGATTTTTAGTAGCATTAGTGACAGTATCACTGAGACCACAATTAACCACCTTACTGTGCCTGCATATTTGTTATCTTGGGAGGAACAAGCAGACATTTATTAAAATAAGTTCAACCATAAAAAAGCATTGCACCAAATTTTATTAATTTGCGACCTGATTGCCTCGTTGTTTTATCGTGCCAAGGATCATTTATTTTATTGGATTTTGCTAATGCTTCTCTTATCTTCTGCGAGGGATAGAAAGGGACATGCCTCACTAGAAACAGGATCAGGCTCGAATAAAGGCGATCTCAAGTTCAACAAGGGAGTGCTTGGGGGGCTGTTGCTTTATATCCTGTAAAACTATATTTATCAACTTAAAGCGCCGTGACGGCAATGGGAGCAGCCCGTAAAATCCTGAGTGAGTTTGACAAAACTCACCACATTCCAAGAGGAGACTGGGGGGATGTTCTTTCCCCCAAGCCACGGAGATAATGTTTGATTGTTGTGCTTAATTCAATATTTTTAAATAACGACTGTGCGTGCCGCTTCTGGCCACACATTGTCCAGCCCATTGGAGAGGCTGTCTGTGGTTGCAGGGGTTAAACTCTAGCTGCAGTGGAAAAAAAGAGCTCCGCCCCCAGTTTCAGCACCTGGCGCTCTATAGACAGTTGCCTCAGCAGTCGATTTCAGAGGGGATTGGAGGAAAACAAGAGGGGGAGAGAATGTGACAACTGCCGGCTCTGACTGCTTGCCTTGGGGAGGCCTCCCGCACCTGTCCCTGCCTGTCTCTTGGCCAGCGCAGTTGTTGAATCAGACAAGCAAGAGAAACAGTCTTCTTTGCCAGACCAGAAAACGGTGTGCCTAGGCGAGGGGAGGGGGGGAGCCCAGCTAGGGAGTGAGTGAGTGAACAGAGAGAGAGAGAGAGAAAGCAAGAGAGAAGAGAGAGGAGAAGATGACTTCTTCATTCAAGCTGGATTTTCTGCCGGAGATGATGGTAGATAGCCGCTTGCTAGTTTCCGACAGAATGTAAGTACCCGATACCATGGGAACCTCAGACCCAGCTCCCCAAGGGTGAGATGCTGAATTTGTCATCTTAAGATGATGCTTTCTTTTCCCCTTGGAAAGGTTTTTGATGGTCTAAACAAAAGCGTTGTGGGTTCAGATCTTTTTCTCTCTTGGAGAGAGTGCCTGTGTGGCAGGAGTGAGGCTTTCTCCCCCTTCCTCTTGTCACTTGCAAATTCTTTTGTGGTCTCCAGTGTGCATATGTGTGTCTGTGTGTGTGCTTGTGTCCCCATTTCCTCACCCATCGGGAATGCTGTTAGGTTTGGTCAGTAACATTTTGTATCAGGAATACTGGTTGGGAAAGAAAGCCGGAGAGGAAAGGAGAGAATGCTAAGTATGATTTCTATTCGACTTAGATAACGTGGAGAAATGCATGCCGAGCCTTGCAGGAAGAGAGAACAGTCATTTTACTGAACTACACATTTGCAATATCAATTGCAAATTCCTATACAGATATTTTGTCTACTGCACAGAGATTCCAACTCTGTCAGGGGGTGTGTGGCGTAACCTGGTCAGATCGAGAAAGAAAATTCACTTAATGATAAATGAGGTGCAAGAATGAAGTGTGTGCAAATGTGAACCAGCCAGGGTTTATTTATTTTCTGGTCCTCTAGAGCAGAAAGGAAATTAAATCAAGCGGTTCAGACTAGGTTGCTGAATACATGGAAAATATAGTGTTAATTATTCTGAAGGTGTTTCTTCTACATTGAGATGAAAATGCGACCGAGTGTGATGGGGCAAAGCTGCATGCTACGATTTCAGGAAGGGAAACAAAATTTGGTTGATGTTCTGCTTTCCTCATGGATCTTAAAGTTTCTGTTGCTGTATCATCTTATGAGGCTAGTCGCTGTCTAGAAAAGTATTCTATTTTGGGTGCTCCAGGAATGTGGGACAAATCTGACTTTTCTACTATTTTAAAGGGGGCAAAAATGTATAGAAGCAAACTAGCATTATTACCAGAAATCATCTTGCTATCTCATGTAGTAATAGCAGCAATGTCATACTAATAGTAATATTCATTGTATCAGGTTGAATGTTACAAAAGAAAAGCAGGGAAGAAAATGCATTATCAATTTCAAGGAAAGTATATTTAGTGCATAAGGCTTATTTGTTTGTCTCTAATTTTCAAAACTATGCTTATTAATTTTGCACCCCTCCCTCTAGGATCTGGCATTGGTCACATCGCTAACTCTAAGTCCTAGCATCTCATTCCTTACCCCGCCCCATCCCTGGTAAATGCTCTCTTGAGGCATTCAATTTCTTGTAGCTCATGAAAGTGTCTGAGAAGAGCTATTCATGAAAGAACCATCTGTTTCAGCTGCTGAGGATTAACATATTATGGGAAGGGGGGGGGAGTCATATTTAATATCAATGACCCTTTTTGTTGTAGATATTGTGTGCAACCTGCTCCTTCCATTGTCCAAATCCAAAGTGTCCTCAATGTAGAATGTTGAGTTTGTGGTTGACAGCAAATTAATAAAATCTGGGCCCGGAGTCCGAACAAATAATGCATGCTGTAGTTGCTTACCCCAATTGTTTACACTTTTTCAGCACATTACAATGTCAAGTATGAGGCTTGCACTTTCAAGCAGTCCATGGGAAGTTCTTGGTGGGAGGTGAGTGTTCATATTCCCCTCTTTTTGGAGTTACACAATCACCCTTTTGGTTCTCAAGTCAGTCAGAAAATATCTGGCCAATAAATATCTTGAAACATTGACGTTATGAATCTGATGTTGACTTGCCTGTCATTTAAGCTTATGGAAATGATTCCTGAAACTCACCCACTGCTGGACAAAAATCAGCAAAATTGCTTCTTTCGAGTCTTGCTTTCAGTTCTTCCATGGGGTACTAGAGGTATAATTGAGTTCGAGACCGTGTTCCAATGCGCATTTATTCCGCAATGGTTGTTGTTGATGCCCTTTTATTGTTATTACTACATTTCGGATCATTCTAATACCCATATGTGGCTCAAAATGAAAAAAAGTATATTTAGAAACACTTTGATACACAGCTTCTTATTCACACTGGTGATATCTTTCCTAGTAAAGATACATGAGATTTTTTTTTTATCCATAACTCTTCTACACTGTCTGCTTATGTGATCATGTTAAGAGAGGCTATAACAATACAGAAATATAGCTTTGCAAATTACTTAAATAACGATGAAGACTGTGCTTTCCAGGAACTGCATATCGTGTATGCACAATGGATGTAAAATATTGAGCTGGATTCCCAGGAGTACTCTGTATGTACATTTGTGTGTGCGTATATGTATGTATATGTCCTTAAATAAGGAAACCTGACTTGGCGCAACACAATCATAGCACTACTTTCAACAGCACCTCCCCCCTCCCTGCACACATGCAATATTGTAAATTTTATGTATGGCTCTCTTGAGGAATGCTTGGGTCTTATCAAAACTGATGAACAAACAGTTGTGTTATTTAAGTGCACTCAATGGGCTGCTTATCATGCAAGCCTGTTGCCTTTTTAGGTGACCCAGACCAGACACCACAAGCATCTTAACCAATATAATCTTCTATCTATCTATCTATCTATCTATCTATCTATCTATCTATCTATCTATCTATCTATCTTCCCTTTTGAGTGAGATGCTTAAATATTGTTGTGTTGTGTAGTTGTTGCCTTTTTTTTAAAAAAAAAGGTAAGGGTGTAAGCTATTGAGTAATTCTTTTGATCATGGACTTATTGACAAGTACAAGAATGAATGAAGAGATCAGATTGTGGGTTATGCCTCAGACCTTTACATTTATCTCAAGAGATGGAATATCATTTTTTGTCTTTCATAATAGTTTCTGATAGAAAAGGGCAAGATTATGAGTTTTTAGAGGGCTTTGTTTATAAGAAAATATTTGCTATGGTGCTTCTGCTTTTTATTTTACAAAGGGAGATGCTTTGCTCAGGAGGGGAAATTATCTTAAGGTATCAGTCAAAGTATTACCTATGTTTCTGGATCTGTTTCATCTTTCATTGCTGCTGATTGGACGTGTACATCATTTTTGTCAACACCCTTTGAGCTTTATTTACAACACAGATAATCCAGAGGAAGTCAGTGGGTTATTTTCCTCTTCCCCATCAGTGGACTAATTTCTTATTATTTTCACATTAATAAAATTAGAGTTAGATGATCCAGTTAAGCAACACTTAAATAGCATTGTTTTGCTGTAGCATGGTCTGTTGACATTCAGGCACGTAGGCATTCAGTTCTATCACTTCTGCTAAAGTTGCTTGCTACCATCCCAACCTAGATAAGATGAGCAAAGCAAGGCAATCTTACAGTACAACCTGTTACAATGCTGTCACGAATAGTGCCAAAGGTGAAGGAGAAAAATGCCAGGGGTCAGATGTTGTGGCCACAACAGCAATAAGAGATTGTGTGAATAACTTCTTAGGGATGGTTCTCCGTGGATTTATGGTTTTTTTATCTCAATCTTCTCAAATACGTTATCTTGACTTAGCCATCCAGTGGTGGTATCATTGTAGAAAGCCCTTGGAGAAAGTGGCTTTCAGTGGCTTTTCAGAAAGCCACTTTCAGAAAGTGACCTGGGCAGAGCACAAAAACTTGGAAAATTCCCACAACTCCGCAAGACACAACCATGTTTTATTTTGCCTGAAACACTTTAGAAGTTTCAGTTCCCTTGTCCAGGGTTAAGGAGGTTCACTGAAGATTTCTTGACCAAGGGCTCCTAAATCCATAGCTGAAGGTAGAAGCACTGCCTTGCCTTCTGCTTACTCATTCCTGGGCCAGTTTACCTTATAAAGAGTTCAACACAGATTGTGATTCCATCATCTACCATACTGACCAGTTATTGGATGGCACAGCTGTTCCTAGTACTAGATGCCTTCAACATGTTTTCCCTCACAGCCATTTATATCACTGTAGATAAGCTTTAGCCCAATCTATGCACCATTATCCTTTTTCAAGAAAGCTCTTTTATGCCTCTTGGACTGATGAAAGAAGAATATCCTTGTGCGTGAAGGAATGTGTATATTCCCCTTCCTCTTCTTTAAAAGCAGGATAGCCCTCGGCATTTGATGATCTCCATATATCCATTGGAGTTCAGATGATGACAGATCAGTGGGACAGAGCGAACATGTTGTATCATAGCTTTTTTAAAAAATATAAGCTAATGTTTGGAGCAACAGATTGACATCATTTTGCATGTTAAAATCATTAAAGCAAACTGCTAGGTGGAAAACTAGGCCTAAGTGCCCTGATTAAAGGGCACATTGCTTCCCAGAGTTTGGCCAATTCTAGTGATGAAAGAAATATATTTGTTTATTTTTTTTAAATCAGGGCAGTTGGGTTTTTTTTACTGGCAGATAAGAATGCATAGATAACAACATCTACTAAATCTTCAACAAGTTCCATGAAAACGAACAGGAAGCTTTGGGGGTTTCACTCATTCACCATCTAATGGTTTCTTAGAAGAGTAACTTACACATTTCAATGGAGGCCAGAGATACGTATATCTTTTCTTATGTGGCTCTATTGTTTCTTTTAAAACTGAAATTCCCATTGGAGTACACATTTTGTTATGAATGAGAAAAGCTCTACTAAACATGAAGGATTATAATTGTCCAATTTGGCCACTGAGTTCGAATGTCTAAATTTGGAAATCTGTATGTTGGGAATGTTGGGTTCCATGGGGCAAGATTCACCCCACTGTATTGAGTTGACTTGAAAGTTAATAAGCTGAGTCCTATAGACAGTGAGTGGATGTTTCAATGACTCAGAAAAAGAATAATTGAAGTTAGATATTTCTTTGAAAGACTCACGTGCAGCTGATTGGGTGCCACCGAAAAGTGCCATGAGTTATCCATTAAAATTAGTCTTTGAATTATCTGTCTCATCTCTATGATGAGTCAAATGCTCTCACATGTATGCACAATGTGTTAATTAAGTGGTGGTCAAAGATGTATTTGAAGAGATGGCATAGTTT